AAAGCAGCTATCAGCTGTCATGCCGACAGCGATTGGGTGGATATCCTGCCTATCGTGTTACTCGGAATACGAGCAGTCATTAAAGAAGACGCTAAAGCGTCTGTAGCAGAATTGGTCTACGGCGAACCCTTACGTTTGCCGGGAGATATGATTCAAGGGGACAATACCCAGGAGCACTCACGTTTCGTAGAATGCTTCAGGAATCACATGAAGTCGTTTCGACCGGTCAAGGTCGGAGAACACGGAAGAAAAAGTGTATTTATTTTTAAGGACTTGAATACGGCATCGCACGTAATGGTGCGACGCGATGCAGTAAAAAAACCGCTGCAACCGCCGTACGACGGACCGTATTCTGTAGTTAGTCGCGGGGATAAGACATTCGTCGTACGTATTGGCGGGCGAGATGTAACAGTATCGATAGACAGATTAAAACCAGCGTTTGTACTGGCAGAAGTCAATTCTGGATTAGGAGCTAAGTTAGAAGTTAAGTTAGAGGATAAGTTAGAAGATAAGTTAGGACATAAGCTACTTTGTAAGGAAAAACCTAAGAAGTCTGTGCGTTTTAACTTAAACGTATAAAACATCACCGAAGGCATACCAAAGATTTTGTATGTAACGCCGTTTTTGGCGAGGGGGGTGGTGTAGGGGACAAATAGTTCCCGGTGTGGCGCTGGTATAGCAAGCCTAAAGCTTAGGGCTTGTACTCATGCGTCTCGCAGGTTGGTACGACGCCAACGGCGGGAGACGCCATGGAAGTCCAGTCGTAATAAAGATCTCGTACACAACGGTACGTGTAGTCACTATCCTTTCCCTACAACTGTAATCAGGACGTCCTGAACTAGACGTCCCGAACTAGACGTCGTAAACAGGACGTCCTGAAAAACCTTGCGATAAAACGTTTAGACTTGCCGCGCGTTCACGGTAGAGACAATATTAAAGTAGGTATTTTTGACGAGGAGTTGTATTATATTTGTATAAAATTAGTGATAAGATCAATTACTTGTATATAGCAGTTTCGTTTGTGTGTGTCGCGCGTTTCCTTTGTACATAAAATAAACTCGTGTTCGTGTCTAAATTTGTGTAATTACATTGTCATCCTCAGACTTAATTCAGAACAACTTTTAGGCTTAATCCAAAACAATTTTACAGAAATAAATTATACACATTTGTACATAATCTACTGTTTAATGGCAACACATGAATGACTCGCATAAAATAAATGTTAATAGTTTATTACAGTAATAACTAATTCTCCACTGACAGTTACAAGGTTCCTACTAATAAATAATCTTTCTTCACCATCGATTATATTCCTACCCATAGATTTATTCAGATGTGCCCAAAGCCTTAGGTCTTTTCACATCTTCTTTCTCCTTCGAAATTTTCCCTGTTCAATCCATTTCTCACTTTCTTCCTTCTAAAAGAGCGCCTTCTTCCATTTATATCCACGCATAGAGTGTTCCAAAACTAGATATAATTCAGTAATTAAAAACTGCTCACAAAACCAAATCGATAACTCCTTTACTGTTTTGTAGTATGTTCCCATGGCGTCTCCCGCCGTTGGCGTCATACCAACCTACGAGAGGCATGAGTACAAGCCCTAAGATTTAGGCTTACGATACCAGCGCCACACTAGGAACTATGTGTGTTTAGTCTTGCGATACCAGCGCCACACTAGGAACTATGTGTGCCCAACACGAATAAACTGTTAAATGAATGTTTCTTTTTACAATAAAAATGAACACACTAATGAACTCTTAAATACTTTATGAACAAGAATAATAGAACTTTATTTAATTATAACTCAAGATTATTATTATAAACGTCGATGACGCGTACCACAGCAAAACGCCTCTTAATCGTGACCGTACGACATATTTGCAAATCCGAAATTCATTTGTTCTTTGCAAACGATCTTGCGTCCGATCTTGCAGCGCTGCACACACACACACACACACACATACTCTCGCGTAGTACACAAAATTACATATATATCAATATAAACTATTAAACAAACAATATTAAGCGAGTAATTAATTAGTTGATTATATGTTCGTTTATTATCGGTACAGCTAATTATGCGTGGACAAGAAGGATGGGATAAAATATCCATAGAAGAAACTAAAAAGTTAGTAAATTCGATGTATAATTGTTTGCGAAATGTGACAAAAAATAAAAATGGTAACTCCATTTATGGTTTTCCACCTAAATCGGCAGTAGAAAGAATTGATCAACAATAGGTATGCAGATTATAGTATAGGTATGTATATATTTATGATCTTATTGGAATTCAAAGTTAATTTGTTAACTAGAGAGATAATTATCATGAGAATATTATATACAATGAATGCAATAGATAAAAAGAATGCTTTCATTTGGATAGTATGAATTATTTATTATTGTTTTAAAACATAAATGTGACCACATGGTAATACTATCGTGGAGACGTCAACCTTACAGCAGCAAATCTTTTGTACAGACTTTTCTCCTAATTAATAACATACAAAAAGAATAAATCGAAATTAAACGGCTGCATAATATACTTATTATAATGTACATTTGTGAAATTTAATTTTAAATTGATAAACAACAAAATAAAATGATATTGTGTTGTATATAGTATAGTAAAAATAAGTTAAAAAATATACCTTCCATTAAATTCTGTTCATTAATTTGACTACCACTTGCACAAACATCAGTATTTAAAAAACAATTTTAATTAATAAATTAGTATCAAAAAATTTAAACATTGTCTGAAAATGTTTTATCGTATTATACCTTCTATCGTATTATCTTCACTTATATGTAATTTGTGTAAAGCCTTTGTGCAAATACTGCTGGTTTTGTCAATGGAAGTTGGAGCATCACCTAAAACGCATAACTACACATTAAATAAGGCCCTAATAAAATTTACTAACTTTGTAATACCTAATCGAAATATTAATAAGATAGATCGATGATCAGAACTTTACCTTCCATTGTTTTTTTTTTTTTTGTCACCATTTTGTAAATGTGAAGGAGACTCACTTTCATTAGAACCATGTATTATAAAAAGGTCAGTTCCTAAAAAAATGATATGCATAAATTATTAATCGTTAACCGTAGCAACACTACAAACAACTTAATATAATTCAAAATTTTTCTAGTATTTTACTAACAATTCGCTTGAAGCAAGAAGAAAGGAAAAATTAATATGTACGACATAACGTACCTTCTACAGAATTATATGTACATATTCCTTCACTTTCTGTACCATACATGTATTAATACTAGCCAACGATATTGTTAGAACATCATCTATAAAAGATAGTATATGGTAATTGTTGTGTTGAATAGTAAATATAATTATTGACTAGAATAATTAGAAACACGAACCATCGTTATTGATATCATTGACTGATGTACTCTCTACTTGAACAGGGTCTTCATTAGGGATGTAATGAGGCAATCTATTCTCTGAAAATGATTAATAAATCACTGAAATTCGTTAAAATTGAATGAAAATTTTTAACAGTGTTCATGTTAGTTTTGGGACAGAATTATTACCTATACTAAACGTTTCATCAATCGCATTATATTCAACGCAGTCTGAAAGCAAATTAAAAAAATATTACTTGAAGTGAAAGTTGTACGCTGCATCATTGAAATATGGAAACATACCTCTTAGTAACAAATTGTCAATATATTGCTGTTGCTCATAGTCTTTATTGAACATGTTTAAAAATTGTTCCACTGATAAAATCCCAGACTAAATTCTCTGGAGCTAACCTAATTTTAGCATTCTTCTCTCTATTCACTCGAGTACGAATTCGCGTGATTTTTAAATTTTTGATCAAACGTTCGTAATTAATAGTTTCATCTTTAATTAGTTTTGATAAATTATCTGTAAAACAATTTTAGAAAAATGTTAATACACAATGAAATAAAAACAATTACACAAATGACAAAAGCGTAAAAACCAGCCTAAAAAATCCATAAATCTGGTCGCGTTGTTTGGAATCGTTGTGATAGAGTATTATGGAAGGATTCAACAATATTGTTAGTCCTCACTGCAGAGCCATATACGCTGACCTTTGAAGCAATAGGTAGCGACACATTGCGTAGATACACCATAAACATTTGGGAAGGTGGCAGCGGACCGATCAGCGACTAACTGTATTTGATTCAATGCTTGTGGAAACATATCGGGTGGAGCTAAGGGCATTGTCATTGCCATTGAGAGAATCACGTCTTGTGCTCCTTCTAATCCTAACTTTCTCCATTTTCTTAATAGAGCCTAAACAGTAAGAAACGGACCATTCAACTCTTCGATGAGCGCTTTAATGAGGTAAGTTATGGAAAAAAACGCTTTGGCAACGTTAACTATTATATTAACTTATATTATATTAACTATTATACCGTACCTGATTAAAATGGAACCAACAGCCATGTATAATGACTGCAGGGAATTGTACTTGTATCCCTTCCATAGCAGCTTTTTCATAATCGCACATGACAATTTCTAAATTGTCTTGCAATCGTGGAGCAAGAGACACTATCTTTTGCCATATTGCTTTATACATTGATGAGGTACGGCACTCACATAAAGCAAAAATAGTAGCGATTTCCTGTAAATTGACATTAGTTTTTAGTGTGATAGTATGAGATAACTTTAACAAAAACTATCAATAGTGGTATACCGTGTCAGTGTACCGTATATGTACAGTATACAGCTGATGAAAAACAGGCATTTGTGGCACAACCTGTCAAGAGATTAGAAGTGATAAAAATTAAACAACTTTCTTTACCTTAAAAATATTAACATTATAAGTTGTTTGCCTTAAATACTTACGGAAAAGGTACCATCCATGTAAATTTCGTTGGCATTTTCTAATGCACTTAGTAGTACAATGTTTGAAAAAATCAGGGCATATTTACTTTCATTTGAAATTGCACATCCCTTATAAATGTCTTTCAAGACATTGTAATTTTCAAGCATTTCATGCGCACTCTGTACAGTTTTAGGAAGTGGTGGTCGAGATTTTACCTTTTCTCTGAACATAATAGATTTCATATTATTGTATGAAATATATGCTGCTGCATCAGGATTTGTACGACAAATATTATCAAAAATCTCCTTATTATTTATGCAAGGATTTTCTCTACATTCCTTTAACATCATCGACTTCAATTTTAACACTTCTGCACATTGTGGATTATTAGGGTGTGTGTGGTTTTTGGATAAAAAATTGTTCATTTCTTTGAAGGAGTGTAGCTGTACACTTGTGGGTTTGGCGCGCACAACAGCGGTAAATGTTGGGATTCTTGGTATCTGCGTTATAAGAATATCCTCCATAAACATATATGAATGTATTTTTTCTCTTCCCATTAAAAATTTCCATTTTATATACGTGTAGGTATTGGATTCACTCGTTGGTAGAATATTGAATATGAAATTCTATATTTAAAATTATTAATTTGTCACAGAAAATAATCGTACTTTATCAAGATTAACTTACAATTATACTATCGGCGTCGTAATTATACTATCGGCGCCGCGTGTTGAAACTGAACAATCGCATGCGATTGAAAAAATTGAAAGTAGTAATAAAACACTAACAATACGTGAGAGGTTGCCTTGTTTATTCCCCTGGACTGGTCACTTCTTATCGGTAGTACAGTAAATATTCGATATGTGCACAAATGATCTGTACGATATTCTTCCATACGACCCGTCACGAGGGGTTGACAGGGCGGAGGAGAGAGGCCGGCGGGCCTGGTTGCCACTCGTAACGAGGCATAAAAATATGCCTCGTTACAGTATATAAGAATAGCTGGAAGGATTAACAGTATTACCAACACTGAAACGGTAAGTGTTGAAGTGTTGAAACGGTATGTATCCATCTAGCAATAAAATATGTAACTTATTAAACGCGCAAAATTTATATTGTAAAAGGTTCAGTTGAAGATGAACACACGGTATATTTGATAAATTGTAAGCTAAAATCAAAGACTACTTGTAAATACTCGTATCTAATAAGTGAAGTATGATAAGGCAGCCAATTAACGACACTTTAATTATAAATATTAATTTTATTGGAGGAAATGAAACAAATTGTAAAACAAATTCATAATTATCCTTGATTTTCAATTGGAAATCTGATTTCGTCATTCTTTGAGATTCAATTCTCAGAGCTAGAAAGTAACGCACGTATTCTTCACTTAGTAGAGCAATATATTAAAATTCGTTTTGTTAATTCAGTTTCATTTAAATTAGTTTAAAAGTTAATCTTTGTTAAAGTTCATTAAAGAATGTAGCGGCACATGGTTCGCAGCGTTGGTAGAAATTAGCATTGACCGTTTACAGATGTTTAGGTGTAGGCAGTTAAATCTACCCTAAAGTCTGTAAGTCGGCGAAATTATTTTATGTTTTTTGGACGTGCGTAGCTCAATAGACTACCCTACCATAAACGCTGCCAGCCATGTCCCGTTACGGTTCATTAGGCCACATGGTCAGCGCGGTCCGGAAGGACATTTTCGACTCTCAA